GGGGTCAAATCCGTCTATCTCATCCCAGAAAACCAATCTAAACACTTGACTATCAGTTGGCCAGGGTAGGAGAGGTCTCCTTGCTTCTACCTGCATGGTGCCAGACACAAAGAATTGCAGGGTAAGGAGCAGCTTTTTATCAGTGGCTAAAGGCTGCTTAAAACTGTGCAAGCCTCAGTCCTTGTCACTGCTCTAGGTCTCATTATTGTCTCTGTTCCAATAACTGTTTATGTAAACCTTAGGTATTCAGACTTCATAATGACAAGGATATTTTCTGAGATTATATTTTTCATTTATTTTTCCTTTGCCATTGAGCCTTTGTCTATCTTTACCAGCTGCAGGTCTGAGTGTGTTGATTTAAGGAATGAAGAGCATATGTTTATATAAGGACTAACTCATGCTCTGACACACTGTATAATACATTGGGGTGTTTGTAACAGGGATCAAACAGTTCCTGCTCTGCAAGATGTCCCCTCATTGTAAGGTAAAAGCATTTGATTTCTGTTATCTCATACAGACCTTTGGTAAACAGATCTTGGTACATTCAAATGTGGTAATAAGCTTGCGTACCTCACCTGGGTGTAAAGAAGAGGTTAGTGTTCGTTAGCTGGGGTGGGTTGGAGTCAGTGGAGGTCCAGGAGAAGGAGAGGAGCTGGAAGCAGATGAGAGGCAACCAACAGAACACAAAATGGAGGCTAGGCACAAGTTGTGTGTCTTCATGACCATCTGCCTAGTACCTTTCCCAGATAATCCCAAGTCCCCTCTCTTCCTCAACAGTTCAACATCTCTTGCAGGCATGGGCAAGCAGTTCAATAATAGCAGAGCTGGTAAATAATAAATTTTTCAGTTGCAATCTTACACTGCCTCAAAGGAAGAGTGTAGTTTTGCTCTCAGGTTCTTCAAGCTTTAAAAAATAGATTGGGTCAATTTCCAACAACTTTAGTTGAAACGTTTCATTATGACAGGTACAGAACAGAGATTTTTACACTTTAGCATTTTGCTCAAATGAAATCGTTTGTTTGCTGAATTTGACCTGAATTTGTAATCAGCCTTTTTTCTCCCCATTTTTCAAAAGTATTCACTACAGCCAGGGGTACGGTTACTGTTCATGAATGTGTTGTAGATCCTGAGTATCATAAGAGCAATACAATTATTTCCTTGTGCAGCTCTTGACTCTCACAAAGAGCTGTCCTCACCTGCTTACTTGGATACTCTCAGCTGTAACACACCAGGCACAGGTCTTGGCCAAACACTTGCTACTCTCCTGCACAGGCCCTGTTGTGAGCTATTAGTGTGAATCTAAATGCTATTCCTCTTGGGAAGAAGGAGCCAGCAATGGAGCAGAGAGGAAAGGGCTGGGAAAGGAACAGCAAGCCAAGAGAAAGAGGGTGAATAAGAGGAGTGGTAGCCCCACATAGCCACGTGGTGGGGACTGCAGTGTCTATGCAGTTGTCCACAGCTGTGACTTCTCTGTTGCTGGTACATTGCAATCAAGTAAGATCTTTAATTAGTTCTGTCCTAGCTGTCCATGGGCTCTCAGACATCCATAGCGAACACAGCCAGAGCTGTGTAACATGAAAAACAGGGCATGAACTGAAGAACAAGCTTGCAGAAGTGGTACTGAGAGAAGCTGTGGAATATGAGCTAAAGGGCTGTATGGCTCAACAAAGCAGCAGGAGAGGATGGGAACCAAGGAGTGCAAGCAAGTCTTCTACAGGGAAAGTCAATTTGTCACCGTATTCTATTGTTTACAGATTGTCAGATGCACCACCTTACTTGTACACGTTTATTCCTTAATGGCTATTGAGAAATGACCATTACTGGAAGAAAGTGCAGCAGAGGGGTGGCAGGAGGCCTGTGTACAAGGAAAGAAGCCAGTATTCCCATGGCCAAGCTGCACGGCTGTCTCCAGTTGCTGACTGAATTAATTAATCTTCACTGTTGAAGCAAACATAGAGCTTAATCATAAATCTTGATTTCATTATGCAACAAAACCATTCCGGCCTTGCAATTTGCTTTGGTAACACTTGTGTAAACAAAGCTTTGGACAGAGGTGCAAAGAGAGTGAACAAATAGGGAGACAGGATGGGGACCAGGGGAAGGTGTGTGCCCTGGAGGCTATCTCAGCTTGGACTGAATGATCGGTACGTGCTTTCTGCCCCTTGCTGTATCCCATGCTAGGGAAGCACCATTTGATGCTGCAATAGAAACTACGGTATCAGTTGAATTTAAAGGAGGTAGTGGGAATTGACCAATAATCAATTAATAAAGAAGTGTGAACAACTTTCATCCTTTCTCCCACCCAAAAGACAAACGTTTCATCGCATAGTTGACTTTTGAAGCAAGTATGGATTCAAACTGAAGCTAATGTTTCTACACCCTCACCAAGCTCCAGTTGGTGTCAGAGTCAACAAACAATGGCCCACCCCATCAGCCATCCTACCTTGTGGGAAGAAAGGTAGTTTTGTGCAAAAGACAGGTCAATATCAAAGGACTGGTTTTGCCACTGGCTCTTCAGATTTTTTTTCTGCAGTATCAGGGACAATATAGTGACCACTACAAATGAAGCAAATGCAATCCAGTATGGTAAACGGAAGGAATGGTTTCGTCTTGTGCCAGCTAGTGTCTTGATGTCTGACCCAGCGTCTCTGGCTCTTTGGTGTGTTCCAGCCGGCCCTGCAACAGCCCCACCTCAGGACATAGCTGAGCCATGCTGGTGGCTGGGAAACTATATTTAAGAAGAGCAAAACGCCACACAGGAAATGAGGACTCGGGGGGGAAAAAGTGTGAGGAACAGCCCTGCGAACACCGAGGTCAGAGAAGATGGAGGGGGAGGAGGTGCTCCAAGTGCCAGAGCTGAGATTGCCCTGCAGCCCATGGAGGGCCCTGTGCTGGAGCAAGGGGACATTTCCTGAAGGAGCTGTGGCCATGGAAAGCCCATGCTGGAGCAGGCTGATCCTGAAGGACTGCAGCCCGTGGGAAGGACCCACGCTGGAGCAGGGGAAAAGAGTGAGGAGGATGGAGCGGCAGAAACAAACTGCTGTGGACTGACTGCAGCCCCCCATTCCCCTTATGCCCTCTGCGCCACTCGGGTAGAGGGGAGGTAGAGGAGTTGGGAATGAAGGAATAAAGCTGAGCCTGGGAAAATGGGGAGGTGTTGTTTTAATTTTTCTGTGTTTCTCGCTATCCAAATCTATTTTAATTAGCAATAAAATAAATTATTTTTCCCCAAGTTGAGTCTGTTTTCCCTGTGACAATAATCAGTAAGTGATTTCTCTGTCCTTATCTCAACCCATAGCTTTTTTTCACCTTATTTTCTCCTCCTGCCCTGTTGAGGAGGAGGAATGAGAGAGGGGCTGGGTGGGCGTCTTGCAGCCAGCCAAGGTCAATCCTCCACACTTGTTTTCCTTTTATCTAGGGACAGAAGAACAGAAGCACTGGAGTCCAAGCAGTGAATGCCAGTCCTCAAGGAGGATGGCCATGCAGTGACGCTTGCCATTGCAGCTCTTGGGGCTTGTGTGGACCAGCCACCCTGAGCTTGCCTCAGACTTAGTCTTTGGAGTTGTCTCATGTTCTCCTTTTCCATTCAAATATTAACAGCATTTGTTGAGTTTTCAATGTTTTTAATCTGTTTTTGCTTTTCTTTCATCTCACCAGGTATGCGACAGCTGCCCGAAGCTGTTTACCAAGCCACCTCCCTTACTTCCTTCAATCCCTCCGAATGACCACTTCTTGCATCTGGCTTGCAAAACCATGATAAGAGAAGACTACCTGTGTTTACAGAGTCAATGAACTGTTGGCATGTCTAACAAAGTAACTCTTTCTTTTTTTCCCTTCCCACTATGGAGTTTGTGCTTTCTTTCTCCCTTTGATCTTCTTCTGACTTGCTTCTGGTGTATCAGGTTGAGTTTCGGTGCTGGCTGTTCTGGGCCAGGACAGTTGTGTTGCATGTTTCAAGAGGCACAAGAAACACATTTCTGAGTTCCTGAGAAGGAATATGTTTACCAATCAGTAATGAATCCAAATCCATCTAAAACTAGCAGCAGGAACAACCAGCATGTCAAATCTTTATCTACTAAAAGTTTTTGCACAGTTTGTCTAGGAAAAAAAATATGTGGGATTGTGCATTACAAGAGTAACTAAGACCCTGAGCCACTTGATCAAACTTTGAAGAGAACCCTTCTTTGACTTGGGGATTGGACCAGATTGGACCTCCAGAGGCCCCTTCCAGGCTAAATCTTTCTGTGATTATGGCATTTTATATACTGTTCAAATGTTGCCAAATTTAGCAGTGCTGTGCAAATGCGGTTTCTTTGATGGGCACTCGGATCCACTGAAACCTGACCATGACCTGAAATATAGTTTCTCTTTGTAAAAATCCATTGTAGAGTTCCATTGGATCCCATTATTTATCTGTTATCTTAAATAAGTTGTAAATCCTGGTGGGAGGACTGTGTTAAGGGATCTGTAAAGTACTTAAGAACTTCAGAAATAGGGAATTTGGGATTAATTCTCCCTTATTTTCTATACTTGCCCCTATCCCCGGACTTAAACTCCTTGTTCTCTGGGAAGATTTGTGTAGTTTAACAACGATCAGTGTATGACCACTGAATTTTGACTTGAGTTTATGACAAAAGTAAAAAGATAACTTTGGTGGTTTCAGATTTGCAGTAGATGACTTACAGAGCTTAAACGTACTGTCTGAGTCTTGCTACCATGGTAAAGATATATCCCAGTGAAGGATGAACAGGGGACATCAGAAAGATGAAAGTAGTCACTTTCTACTGCATTTTTATGGGACATCTAGTAGGACAGATATACTCAAGAGTAGACTAGGAGAATGCAAGGCAGCTCAGCATCCTAGTTCCAAACTCTTCTACCTCCAGAAAGTTAACTAATGTGTGACTAATATTTGAGAAATACATGACGGTAAGTTTTGTGTGATATTTGACTCAGTCCCTGAAACTGTACCTTCACAACAACTTTAAGGGACTGGCGACATGACAGTTGTCTCGGATGATGCCCTCCCAGCAGCTGGTGGGTGTGCCTCCCCGAGGGAGTCCAGGCCAGTCAGAAGGGTCTCCATAAGCCCCTCGATTGTTTCCCACCATGCTCTTACCCTTCCACATCTGCAGTCACAAAAAGGAAGGCTCTGCTACACAGACTTAAAAAACAACTTTGGCTCAGGTATGACTCAAACCCGAGAAAGGGACATGTTACATTTGTGACAGCAGCAGAACTTCATAGCTGAAAGAGGAATGGGATGGAAAAATAGCAGCCATTGCAACCACTTTTAATCTCTGCCTTCTCTGAGGAAGATGTCAGGTGTTGTCTTCTTGTAGAACCAGGAAGCTATAAATGTTGGGTTACAAATCAAACATACAGTCATGGAAATTAGGGAAGTAAGAGCAGTGAGGGAGTGTGTTTGGTGTTGACTTACTCAAGGGACAGATTGGGCTGCTGAGCTACACCCTTTAGCATCTCTGCCTATAAATTCTGCTGCCCTCCTATATCAGGAGCTCCAAGAAGATGGCTGCCACCATGATCTTGTCTTGGATGGTAATGATAAGTCTTCAAATTCAGATGGATGCAGGTAAAGAGTCTCACTTCTGATCACCTTCATGGCTATATTTTACATCTGGTTAATGCTGAGATTTAAGGGTAAAAGAGGATTTAGCAGCATGGCTTAGCTCTTTCAAAAACCATGAGTAGGTCAAACCTATAAGCTGAGAAAATCAATTGTTATACACATTAATTTTTTGAATTAATTGAAACTTTTATTGAAATTGCTTAATTAATTTAAATTTTTGTTCTCACCATTTTTTGTTCTCACCTCACTAAGGAGGCTAGTAAAGAAAATTCAAATTAATATACTGTAAAGCCAATGATACAATTTTCCAAATCTTTTTATTGGAGAAATGAATTTAAAGACTAATATGTATTTTCTGGATGAAATGCATGTTTATTTTAAAGAGTGTGAGGTGCTCTCTGAACCATGTGTTTTGTATTTGATTAAGTATATTGTTACGACTAACACATTGGTGTTTAATAACGGAGTGCCCTAGATAAAACAAGTATGGCACATGTCCCTGTTGCTATTACTATTGTAATTATTAGACTATAATAAGAATTACTGTAATTTTATATTATTCGAATTTCCTATAGTCTAATTCCTGTTACAAGTGTAATTTGATTTGGTTGCAGAGGCAGTGATCTGCCCAGACACTTTCATCCCTTTGAGGACCAATAGAAATATCAGTGGGTCTGATGGGAGGGAGGATGCTTCAAACAGGGTAAAATGGTCTGCCTATGTCCAAAAAACAGTTTCCCCTTTGTCAGGTGAGGCTTCCCTGGCTGAGCAGAGTGCCAGCATGGTGCTGTGAGAAACAAGGCATTTCTTTTTAAGAAGCTGCTGTTGCATTCTTTGTGCAGGAGGGGGGAATGGAAAAAGATCAAAAGTGTTTGCCATAGCTACTGTCTTTCCATCCCTCCCTCTTTTAGATGTAAAGTTTTGACATTAACTTGACTTAGACTAATGAACTAAAAGCAAAAACCTGTTTCGCTTGCTATGTTCCCACACACACCTGCAATACACAACGGAAAGAAATAACCATTCAACCTTGCAGATGCACATGGAACCAGCCAATATTGATTTAACTTTATATAATTTAATGGAAGCACACTAGTAAGACACAGTTGCTGTCCTGTACGGTACCACGAAGTCCCAGAGGTGTGCATTTTGCTCACAGTTGCGCTCTTGAGACTTTCACGCACACGGAGTAAAAACCTGGAGACTGTAACAATCCAGAATGCACATTTACACATGCAAATCAGAACAGTGTTCAGTTAGGTTGGGTTTTCTCAGAAAACAATATTTAGCATCGCACAGGACTTTCTGAATACTGTTGATATTTTACAGGGATGAATTCTTGGATTTACTATTCCCAGCAAACACCTCTTGAGTCGTATCATGCCTGCCAGCCTCTCACCTTGTCTTGGCACAGTGACTTCCCTGCTTTAATTCAGGCTCATGCACTTCTAAGAGCAAGGCAAAAAAAAAAAACCAAAGGCATAACTCTCACTCCTCCTTCAGGGAAGAGATCTGAAGTGCTATGCTCCTGCTAGGAATTTCTTCTGACCAGGACACCTGCCTGTTCACTGTTCTTTGCAGCTATAAACAAGCAAACAACATCCATCATATCCCTGGGGATATGAAGGCTATAGAGTGTGTTGCATATTTTGCCCACTGCTTTCAAAAAGACAGTACAAAATGCTTGAATTATAACAATAGAAAGCAGAGAAACAAAAACTAAGCCAAGGAAATCAGAATAAGAGACATTTAGAAAAATAAAATAACAGAGCAAAGAAGCCCAAAAAGTAACACCAAAAGCAAACCAGAGTTTGAAATTTTTGCAGGCAGCCTGACTCACATCCACAACGAATTACAGAGTATTATTCAGGTGAGGGATGATTTGAATAAACTATATGTTATATAAACGTAACAGTGTGACTCAAACCCAAGGCTTCATACATCACTTCTTAAAGAAAAGCACTTCACCTGGGGAGGGTTGAAGGGAGCATTGGGGGGGTGTGGGGGTGTATGTGTTTGTTTTAAATCAAGCTGTGCAATTTTGAAGAATGCATGAACCATTACTTACTGAAAGTTACTCTGGCTTTCCAAAAAGCTTCCCCTACTACAAGAATATGTCTTTTAATCATGAAGCCCAACAGAGTTTATGTGACCCAGCCTGGAAGTGAAGGAGGAGTTTATGTAGTGATTGCTGCTTGCTGTTCATTTTACGTTAAAGTCCGATATCTGTCTCACTGTATGAAGTCACCTTTTGAATGTGTGGGAATTACCAAGTATTTTGTGTTTGCTACTCAAAACAAAAAAGGCTTGAGAAATACACAACACTTCTAAAATGTTGCATCAGAGCATGGACCATGGCTAAGCACATCACTACTTTATTTTTACGTGAAAATCACGAATATATTTTTCCTCTTAGATATGAAATGAATACCTTATGCAAGTTTTCTTTATACTTGTTTTACATGTTTTTCACTATGCATTTAAGTTTACAGAAAAAAAAAACCCCAACAATTGCAGATAAACAACATTTGTTCAACAACTAAAAATACTGTGAGTATTTCAAATTAGAAGCGTAGATTTAAGGAAGTACCACAAATATTCTACATTACATTACTTCCACCCAGTCACATCCTTCTGTAAACCTTGACTGTTTCTTTTCATTATGATGACAAAAAGTCTGCTCAATGCTTGGTTTATTTAGCTCCCAGCACCTTCTGTCCATTATTGCCAGCAAATGCACACTAAGAATTACCACAGAAAATTCAAATAGTAGTCAAAAATCCAAACTATTCTGTTTAGTCTGACAGAACATTAATCCAGACCTGCATGTATGAAAGATCAGCTTGCTATATGGCAGATTTGCCCCCTGTTGTCTCTGCTTACAGTCTTTTATGAACTGAAAAGATAGTTTTGGGAGGCTACCAAGCCCCTGTGGAATATGGCACCACTAATTACCTCTCATTTCCCAGAGACCTCGTGCCACAGTTTTAAGCACACACTACACTGTCATGCTTGTACGATGCTCTGTAAGATGCTCTCTCATGCAGGTTGACTTTACGGTGCGGCACTGCCCTCCCCTCTGTCTTTTGAATACTTTAGCCACATTCAATTGAGTTTGACAGAACGGAGCTCCCTTAAAATTTAATTAAATGTTTAAATATTACACATACATTCTACTCTAGGTCTACCACAGAGGCTGGGGAATCCCCATCCTTGGAGCTTTTCAAGACTTGCTGTGGCTACACAAAGTCATGGATGACTTGACCTAGTGCTGAAATAGTCTGGCATTTATCTGACAAATCACACAGCAAAGAATAACATTTACGTCATCAAAGCAAAGAGAGAAAAAAAAACTGCAAAAGATGGTTTATATGTATTTTTTCAGAGCCAAATTAATTACTGTCACATTTATGCATGCATAAAATGCATAGGTTCTGTCCCTTGATTTTCATAATCCTGAGAGTGGTAAGACAGGGAAGTATGGCAAATATTAATAGCAAAGTTTTATCCTTAACAGATTAATAACGAAGATTTAAAAATTGATTATTAATCTGTCCTAGAGGAAGGGATGCCTCTGTATCCTCAGTGGATGCATATAACTGGGCAAAATATATGCAACACACCCTTTTCTTAAAACCCCTTTTTCAACAAATCTCCACCACCCCTCTCTTGTCTGTCTTGTCCAAAGCAGTGAGTCTCAGTCGGCTGTTGTACTAGTCACCACGTGGAACGAGTGTATCTCCTTAGAAACAAGCAGATACACTTGTCACCACTGTTCTGTTTTTCATTTGTAAAAGAGTTGCCTCAAGTGAAATTAATGGATCTGGGAGAGGTAATCTTCATACTTCTATTAAGATAAAAAGTTGCTCGATTGCTTTTTTCTCTTCTTCCCTTAACAGTTGCAAGTATCATGACCCAAAGTACCAGCATGCCAATGTCTTCAGATGTGTCTGCATTTTTCATGTTTTTGGTTTATGCGCTACTTTTGGGCTGTACTAATGAGTATCCCAGCTTGGGGGTCTGAAGCTGCCCGGTGGCAAGTGGGACAGGCAGGAGCATGGTGCTGTGGACCACACACCCCAGGGCAGGGCATTGGTTTGCCAGTCATGCTCGTGGGGCTATCGGGCACATGGCATGCAAACCTGGAGAGAGCAAAGCTCCAAGGTGGATTGCACCGTGTCCCAAAAGATGCATCTCTCGACAGAAAACATACCTCGTCTGAATGTGTTTATCACTTGCATTGTCAAATTTAGTCACTCAATAAAAGCGATTCTTGTTATTTACAACAAGAATCACAACATCATAGGATCATAGGATCATAGGATGGTTTGGGTGGGAAGGAACATTTAAAGGTCATCTAGTCAAAACCTCCTGCAATGAGCAGAGACATCTTCAACTAGAAGATGGCTCGGAGCCCTCCCCAAACTGCCCTTGAATATTTCTAGGGATGGGAACAAGCTCTCTGGGCAACCAAGAAATTAGCACTTCATTGCCTAAAGAGAAAATCTGTTGGAGACATGTTTGAAAATTGTGTTTTTGTTGCTCCCACCATGGCAGAGCACCCTGCTGAGACCCCCAGGCTCTCCGTCGCCCACGTGACAGGGGGGCACCAGCATCCCCAGTGCTGGGAGAAAACCTGGCCGTGCTCCTTCATCCACAAGGTCCTCACTTGCTTCTTTCTCTTCCTCCCCTAACAGATGCTACAACCACGACCCCAGCCAGCTTCACGGCATCGGTTCCTCCAGGTGGGTCTGAAGTTGTCATGGTTTCTCTGGCCACTGCTTTTGCGGTACCAGGTCGTGCCTAAACGGGGTGGCGTTTGGTCTTCTCCATGGGGGAGCAGAGCCACGGCAACACACAGCCTGATTAAGCCGAGGGTGGCAGTCCTGGTGGCCTGAAAGTCGTGGAGCATTGCCAATGCCCCGGCGAGAGAAGGTGCCTGCGTGCTAGAGGGTTTTCCCATGTTTCCCCTGTCTCCTCCTTCCCCAGGTGCCTCCCTGAGCCTGGTGAACGGCAGGAACCGGTGCGAGGGGCGCGTAGAGATTTACCACTACGGGGGCCGGGGCACCGTCTGTGATGACGGCTGGGACCTGAACGATGCCGAGGTCGTGTGCAGGCAGCTGGGATGCGGCTTTGCTGTTTCTGCACCATCAAGTGCCTACTTTGGACAAGGCACTGGCAATATCTACCTGGACGATGTGCACTGCACAGGCAGCGAGTCCTCCCTCTTTCAGTGCAGGCACAGTGGCTGGGGCGTCCACAACTGTGGCCACAGTGAAGATGCTGGTGTTGTGTGCTCAGGTACCATTGCTTTTCCTTCCTAAGCACCAGTCTGCCTTCCAAAAGTGGCCCTTGTTGGCCACAATTCGGTACGTGTTGGAGGCGTGTTCAAAGATTGTGCTTTCTGTTGCTCCCACCATGGCAGAGCACCCTGCTGAGACCCCCAGGCTCTCCGTCGCCCACGTGACAGGGGGGCACCAGCATCCCCAGTGCTGGGAGAAAACCTGGCCGTGCTCCTTCATCCACAAGGTCCTCACTTGCTTCTTTCTCTTCCTCC